ATGCTATACTTTCTTTAGTTTAGTGGTTCTCAACAGGGGATGATTTTTCCTCCAGGGGATATTGGACAATGTGTTTAGACAATTTTGGTTGTCATACCTGGGGTAGGGTGCTATTGGGATTTAGTGAGTGGAGGCTAAGGATGCTTCTTAACTTTCTAAAATAGTGTATTCTCTCCTTAAGCAAATAATTATCTGGCCCTAAATAACAATGGTCTCAAAGTTGAGAAACCTTGGGTTAGATGTATAGACAGACAGGCATGCTTGTTATTCTACTGCTTAGAAAACTGAATTAAATATTTGAGTGGAGGTACAAGTGGAATATAATAGAATAAAAATAACTTTGCCTTGACTATGTGTGAAGGTATTGTGGGCGAGATAGCATTTAAGCTTGATTTTTATGATGAATAGAAATGTGGGCACTATAGATGTTATGGATGGAATACCAGAGCTAGAGGTTCCTAATCAAGTTAGTACTCTTGTTTTCTTAAGAGACAAAAGCCATTTTAAAATAAAATCTTATTTAGACCCTAAATATATAAAACTAATAAAAATAGAGCAGGTCTAATTGATTCTATTGTAGGAACTTAAGCAGGTTACCTGCTTGGCTTCTTTTCTTCCACACCCTCTCCCCAAACCCTCAGGAATTTCTGTCCCAACATTATTAATAAGAGAACTTCCTTTCTTCTAAAAATAATCCTGGTTTTATGATAAACTATATTGTCATCCTTTTTATGAGGGAATCTAGTATTCTAAGGAATGTGGTTTGAAAATTACTGAGTCTGATTTTTTCTCTCTACCTTTAGAAAATAAGAAACATAAATTATTGCCTAAACATTAAAATTTCATTACTCTTAATAACTATTTTATATGAGAGGGGACTTTAAGACTTAAGTTAGGTTACCTGAGTCCAAGACCTTGCTCAGCTGCTTTCTAACTATTTGGCATTAGATGAATCTCTAGAACTCTTGGGCCCCAAGTTTACCTATTATAATAGATTCCTCCTTGCACTGTACCCAGTGCTAAGCATATTTTCCAACAAAAATTCATTGAATTTGTTTATTTATAACCCCTACCCTTTATCTTATCTTGCATAGGCTACTAACTTCACTTACAGATATATTGTTCTTGATTTCTGGATCTATAATTATTACTATGGAATTTTTAACTATAGACATGGACTTTTCATCTGCATATGTCTTCATGCTCTAGGCTCAAGTATCCAGCTAGCTTTTGTAAATCTTTAAAAGGCTTACTTGTTAAACACTTCAAAAACACATCTAAAATGGAATCCTTGAGCCCTCACTACCTTTAACCCCTACTCCCATAGGCTTCTCCAACTCAGTAATGATAGTACCACCTACTCAATTGATAAGACCAAAATGCTAAATGTCATCTTTGATTCCTCTTCGCCTCCCATATTCAATGATATCAGCAAGTACCATGGCTCTAGCTTAAAGAATATTTTCAATTCAACCAGTTCTCATGTTCTCAACTGTTACCTGGTCCAAACCACTATCATCTCTTGCTTGGACTACAGAAGTGACCTCAAACTCATATTTCTGCTTCAATTCTTTAATAGCAATTTGTTCAAACAGCAGCGAGAATTATTTTTTTATAAACACACATACATGCAGCATTAAACTTGTCCTTAAAATCACTTCAATCTGAAGTCCTTAATATGGCCCACAAGATTGTTCATGCCCAGTGCTCTTACCCCTTCTTTTGGCCACTGTAACCTCGTCTTACAGGACTTTTCTGTGTTCCTTAAGTGAACTAAACTTATTGCTACCTCACAGCCTTTGCAGTGCTGTTATTTTTTTCTTAGAACACCTTCTCTAAATAATCGCCTCTTTTTTATCATTTGGACCTCAGTTTAAGTTTTGCTGCCTCAGAAAGACTTGCCCTAAACATAATATGTAAAGTTTTCCTCAGTCACATTGCTATCTATCCCTGTATCACATTTTATTTTTCTCCTAAAATTTATGAAAATCATTTGTATTTATTTTTATTTTTTGTATCATACAACAAGAATATAAGTCCCATGAGAGCAGGACTCTTGGTTGTCTACTCACAGTACAGAGAACATGACTGGAGTATAGTGTAAGCGCTTCATCAATATTTCTTGAATAATTTTAGATACCCTTTCAACTTGTAGTGGCACACAGAGTTAGTTTACAGCATGGATAGAAATAATTCATGTACAAACAAAATTAAAGCAACTAAAACAAAATGGCACTGGCTAAACTTACATACCTGGTAAGTAAACTGAAAAATAAACTGTTACATATTATTTTTTTGTAATATAAAAATAAATTACATATTATTTTTGACATTAAGAAGCAAAGTTGTACCTGAGGAAAGTTAGTTCTAATAGAGTTGAACACAAAAGTGAGATAGCTAAAATCAAACTCAGGAAAGTAATACTAAAATAATATCAGAAGGCCGAAACCGGTTTGGCTCAGTGGTAGAGCGTCGGTCTGCAGACTGAAAGGTCCCGGGTTCGATTCCGGTCAAGGGCATGTACCTTGGTTGCGGGCACATCCCCGGGAAGGGGGTGTGCAAGAGGCAGCTGGTTGCTGTTTCTCTCTCATCGACATTTCTAGCTCTCTATTTCTCTCTCTTCCTCTCTGTAAAAAATCAATAAAATATATTTTAAAAATAAATAATAAATAAATAAATAAAATAATATCAGAAGAAAACTTATGGTGACTAAATTTTAAAATGGACAAAAATAAAGATCTTGTAAAAGTTACAAATAATTCATTCAGAGGAAATTTTTAGATGAAAAGTATAAACTAAAATGGAAAAGTATCTAGAAAACGTTTCACTGATTTGAATGGAAAATTATTCATTGAACTCATTTCAATTGTCTGGGTTTATTCTGAAAAACCTCAGATATTGGTATATTCTAGCAAACTATATATTGTCTTATCATTAGTGACTAACTTTTTTTTTCTGATATCTTGTAAAAATGGAACTTAATTCAAACTGAGGCTCTAAAACGGAAAGTGAAATTACAATCTGTCACATAGCTAACAAATTACAAGTTTCATTTACATAGCTTTTTTTTTTCTCACTCAGTTGTGAGGTCAACTAGTAAAAATAGGTACATCCTAATTTTTGGTGTGCTTTTGTTTTGTTTGTTTGATTGTTTTTTTTGTAAGAAAACTAAACCTAATATGGAGAAATGGTTTGTCCAAGAACAACTTGTTATAAAATTAAGAAATTTGGATAAAACCATATAAAAATTAGATTGTGGTGAGACTATCATAAGTATATAGACATATCCTTTTTTATTTCATCATCACTCCTATTTTAGTTCTTTAAAGCAAAGATTGACCTGTTGATGGAGAAATGGGGAAAACAATTTATATAATATGCTTAATAATTTGAATTGATAGTAGAACATACTCTAAGAATTTTAATATAGATTAGTGATCCAGTTACCTAAGAAATAAATTTGGGTTTCATTGTGAATAGGTCCTATTAAAAGAATTTTATATATTTAACTATGATCCAGAAAGTGAGTGACTTTGGCTAAGTCATTTTTCTATAAGAGAAATGGTTTCTAATATAGAAATGATGATACTTTCTGTTATGTATCTGACAGCTTCATATTGGCATCACATCTGCATATAAAAAAACCTTATCAGAAATATTGATACAAAGATAAAAGCTTTCTCAATCCATTTTCTTCTTTATATTTCTGTTTAGAATGCTCCCTGAATAACCCTTCTATTCACTCAACTGGACTTGGCTTGATCAAAGAAATCTTTTTTTTTTTCTACACTCATTTTACTAAAAGTTAATGGAAGGCTGACCTAGTAATTCAAATATCTATGTTAAGAATTCATCTTGCTTGATGTCTTAGTTATTTCACCTCTGTTTGCTTCATTCTTAGTTATGTTCTCACTATGTGTGGCAAAAACGGCCACCAATACCAAAAGCTTAGTATCTATCAGTTTCTCAGTCACATTGCTCATGTGGCCATACCTGAACTAAGCTTTGTAACTAGAGGAATGGATTCCTCTGAGAGATTGGGCCTGTCATTGCTAAAGTCAGCCCCACCTAAACTACTTGCACTAAAGGGAAAAGAGTGGTTTGCCAAAGAAAATTGAAGTATTCTTACTAGTATTAGAAGAAGAATCTCAAATGGTGGAAAGGATGCTGGGTTAGAAAAACAACAGCTGTCAGTTAGGTCCTCCCTAACATATTCCACTAATTGAAATCCTATTAACACTTAAAGGATTGTCTTAAGCATCATTTTTTTTTGTGTGACTCTAACGGTGTATAAATTCTCCCTCTTTTGTGTTTCTTTAGCATATTCTGCTTATTTTTTTGTTATTTGTTTTTGTGAACCTTGTATAATAATTGCAAGTTTATTTTTTAGATTAGTATTGTGTCACTTGTTTAGAACAGATACTATTATACTATAACTTCATTTTTTTACATCTTGAGAAGCACCCAAGAGGTATCTGATTCATAATAGACTATCAAGCAAATATGGGTTAAACTGACTTCTTAATGTTGCACAAATTATCCTATATAATAAAAGGATAATATGCAAATTGTCCTCTCAACTTGGAGTTCAACTGGGAGTTCAACCAGGAGTTCAACCAAAGGGCAGGGCCAGCCTGCCAACATCCCACAGTCCCTCACCCCAGCTGGCCTTGCCCAATCAGCTCTGTTTGGGTCAGGCCTGCTGGACTCCACTGTATAAGAATTTGTGCACTGGACTTCTAGTGAATAATAAAAGTAAACAAGATAAGGTTGATGATTTTATGTGCATAACTTATTAAGTGATGAATTACTTAGTGATAAATTAATGATTAATTTACTAAAAGACTAACAGAAGCAACATTAAAAATTCTGAGAACACATGATTCTTGTTTAAGAAGTAAGAATCACTGTAGCTCCCAAGAGTGGTTGACTTTGATAAGAACTGTTTGGGGTGGGGGTTTGTCTGCATTCACTAACTTTGTGCTTCTTTTCCTCTTCAGCTGTCTGGGTTCGTGTCTAAGCTTGTTCCAGCTATCCAGAATGCCCTCAAGAGTTCAAGTGGATCTGGAGGAGGAAAAGAACTGATGGTGATAACTGAACCCATTTTGATTGAGACCTACATGGGACTGATGTCATTCATTGGAAACCGCAACAAACTTGGTTATTCCCTTGCCCGTGGGAGTATTGGTTTTTGAAACTCTTTTTGATGTATAAGTATTTCACTCATAGATATACCATTTTTAAAGATTCTGGTTCAGCCCACCAAAAACTTAATTATTTTTGAACTTAAATAATTAACTACTTTTAAATAGTATTACATGATTTTAAATATTTAATATCTTAGAAAATCTAAAATCTTGATTAGACCGATGGAGGTGCCCTTCAGATCTTATGTAAGGATAATCATTTCCTAAAACCAGAAAATAAATTTTCCTAAACCCATTAAATAATGTTACCAAATGAATATCTGATCATAAACTCAGGGCAGACTTTCTGGGTCCTTGTTCCTCTATCCTCTAAATGAAGGCATTTTCTAGGTCTTGATCTTTAGCCCTTTGATCTGGATCTTCTTTCTCATTGGGATACTCTGTATTATATTAATTACCCTTCTTAGGGGAGTGATTTCCAAATCCACATTTGCACCCTTGAAGATTCAGTTTTGCATTTGTGTCTGCTGATATCTATTTCACTATTCCAATGGCCTCTCACATTCAACATTTTTAAATGCCTGGATTTCTCTGTGTCATTTTCATGGACCCAGTCATTATTCTTGAAATCCATGAGTTTTGATTTATTTAAACGACTTGCCAAATACATTCCATATAGAATCTGCCTTAGTTTGGGCCACTATAACAAAATGCCACATATTTGGTGGCTTATAAACAACTAAGATTTATTTGTCACAGTTCTGGAGGCTGGAAGTCTGAGATCAAGATGCTGGCATGGTCAGTTGAGGACTCTCCTCAGGGACTCTCCTGAGGTTGCAGATATATTCTCACATGGTAAAGGGGCAAAGGTGTCCTCTTGTGCTTCTTTTAAGAGAGCATTAATATCATTCACAAGGACTCTGCCCTCATGACCTAATCACTACCTACTGGCCCCACTTCGGGCTTTAAGATTTCAACATATAAAATTTGGGGTGGGGGATGAAACATTCAGGCCATAAAAGTACCACATCTGTATGTGGCTTAGCATTATACCCCAATTCCCAGATGTCAGACTGTTCATTCTTCTTTAAAAATTATACATATACTTCTCCTTTCCATTCCCACAGGTATATTTTTAGATCAACATTTTTACAATTTTAAATTCTCCTAACTTGGAGAATGGCCATAGTCTCTTTTTTTATAGGTCATAGCCTTTTAATTGGGGTTCTCACTCCAAGGCTACTTCTCATTCAGTCTGCTCTGGTTTGCCAGATTCTTAAAGCACAATTTGATCATAGCAGTCCCTGCTCAAGAATTTTCAATGGCTCATTTCTGTTTGCAGTTTTTTTTTTTTTTGTTCAAACATTTTTTTTTTTTTTTTTAATAGCAGGGCCTTTTGTTCTAATGGCTGTCAACTATGTAAAACTGATAGAAGTAAGGCCAAGATGATTAAAGTTAGAAGCCTAATGGCACTAGTCTTCTTCTTTTGGGATCTCAGAGGGGGGTCCCTGTGGAATGTTTATGGATCTCAAATGGTTTTGAGGTGCATCCTAATTAATTCTGTTTCCATTGTTTTTCTTCCTTTTGTTTCCTTTTTGTATTTCATTGATTTATGTCTCATTTTGAACAACCTGAGAGATTATCTCATCTTTTCTCAATTCTTCAAGTTTCTTGTATTTTTCAAAATTCCAATTTTATCTTATTTTTAATTTATTTTGAATGTTAAGCACCATATACATTATTATATTCAGCTTTTTGCCTTCCCCAAGACTCAAAGTTGAGAAACGTTGGTAAGTATTCAAATAAAAATTAAAAAATCAGGCATATTTTGTGTGTGTGTTTTGCTTATGTGATATCTATTTTTTAAGTATTTGAAAAACTTCCTTAATTCCTAAGATCTGTCCTCTGAATCATTCACAAACATCAATTTGATGGAGGCATTCAGAACTCAAACCTTGAATAAACCTCATTTCATTTTATCTTTGTTTACTTCCATTAGTATTTCCCCCCCTCTTCTCTTTCTTCCCAGCATCCACTTTTCCCCCATGATAGCAAATATTGTTACAATCCCCAAGGCAGGGAACTTCTATTCAGACTGTAAAAGGAAATGTTGAAATTTTTAGCTGTCCTGTCAACAGTAGTGGAAAGAAAAGTCGTTGGATTGTTTTGGCAGTGGTTCTGAAGTCCTCATAATTGGCAAATTATTATAACACTGTTGCTTGAAAATCCCCATTTGCCTCAAGATAGTGGCATTTGTTGGCAGAAGCATCTGAAATGTCCAGCCCTTTCTCTTCAGTTACCATTTAAGGATCAGCCTGACAATTGACTTCTCTCTGCATAGTTGTCCTCTTTGTAACCTAAGTTGGGACTGTTCCCAAATGACCTTCTAAAGGACACATTGTAACATTGTTAATGGAATGAAATCAGAAAACCTGAGAGGAGGTAGATGTCTCTGAGCCCTAAAGTCCAGTGTGTAACAATAGAATATACATTTAATCTTACTGAAGTTGTTCAGTATGGAGAAGTCAGAGATGATAACAAGAGATCTGTCTGCACATTCACAAATACTCTTCTGAGATACATGCAATAAAATAATAAATGTGACCTAGAAAGCAGGATTATGATCAGAGGATGAGAGAATACAAGAATTTGGATAGTAATGTTAAATAAAAATAAACTTTTTAAAGTTAGAAATGTCCAAAAATAGAATGGGTTGCTCCTAGAAAGAGTGAGAACCCTATCCCTTGATATGTTCAAGTAGAGACCAATCAAGTGGATATTGAGAAAGGGATTGCTGAAGAGACAATTGATGTAATCCTCTAGCCTATGATTTTTATGATCCTACAAATCATTGTTGCTATTGATTAGATGATTAAACTCCTTTATGTTGAAAAGAATTAAATCAGTCAGGTGAGACCTAGGAAAATTACTTTAACTTTCCTAAGTTTTAATTTTCTCCTCTGCAAAATAGAGGCAATAATACCACTCTGCCTTTTTCATAAAGGACTTGTGAGGACTTAATGGAATGAGGTAAGTTCTTTTATTAAAAAAAAGGCATTGAGTACTTGCCTGCAGAATGATGTGACTTCTGCAGCAGAAAGTAGGGTAACATCCAAAGACACTAAATTCAGTTCTCCCTTAGAATGGTTTCTTGGTCACAGTAGACACACTGGCCATCTTTTTCTATGGTAACAATTGATGTTCTCACTTGTAATCCTCAGCAAACACCCCCAAATAATAGAACCTAATGTACATATGGTCTTTTCCTTCAGACTATCATCTGGAATACACCAATGAAGTTTCCAAAAGGGGCATCATAGGTTTGTTGGGAATAGATTTAGATACAAAAGTCATTTAACATGAAGCATATGATCATTTAAATGTCATAGTTGGGCACCTTCTTTACCTGATTATTATCCCATTCAGGAATTCCCTCTAGAAAAATCCCAAAAAGTGTCCTTTCAGAAATCGCTTGAGCATCTCTATTGAAAGCTTACTCACAATCTTCCAATACATTTTGGCCAGTTCTGATGATTAGAAAGTTATCTTTATGTTTACTTATATCATGTAATGTCCATCTGCCATCTCTTTTATTTAAAAACTAGAGGCCTGGTGCATGAATTTGTGCATGGGTGGGGTCCAGCTGCCTGCCCCGATGGGGGCTGATCAGGGTCGGGCCAGAGGGCAGGAGGGGCCATGGGATATTGGCCAGCTGGCCCTGTCCCCAATTGGGGGGGGACAATTGGGGACCAGGCCAGCCAGGGAGAGGAGCTGTGAAGGTTAGGAGGGGCCAATCGTGTTGGCCAGCACAGTGTGCGTCATAGCAACTGATCATTTCAGTCATTCTGGTCACTTGGCTTTATATATATATAAATATATATATATATACACATATATATATACATATATATACATATATATATGATATAGATAGATAGATAGATAGATAGATAGATAGATAGATAGATAGATAGATGATAGATAGATAGATATAGATATTCTTATGTGGAGTAGGCTCAGCTTGGATCTCCATATCAGGATGTGGGACATTGGGCAAAGAGTCAGGGTTGACTAATACTCTGCTATATATAACAAAATAGATGGTCAAGTATCACTATCCCTTACCTACCATTAGGCAATAGGGCCTCTTTGGAGGTCTGACATTTGGCTAGCTTAAAAAATAGGAAAAAAGGGACAATTTATGAGTTTGGGATCTTTTATCTTAAGGCCCATTCTCATTGCCTTTACTGAAGCATTATTAAGGAATACAATGCTCAGGGCTGTGGAGCAGAAGGAGCATAAGAACCATCTAATCCAAAGCTTCCATTTCTCATAGCAAAGGCCTAGAAATTGGAAAGAAAATGCTCAAAAAGCAGGTGGTGGATTTTTGGCAATACTGGGATTAGAGTATAGAGCTTCCAGTTTCCTATTCCTGATCTACTGCCCTTTCCATATTTCTCCATTCCCAGAGAAAGGCATGTCATCTAAATCAGTATATCCTAGTTGCTGGGTTAATTCAGAAGTGAGAGGAAAAATGGATCATTGTTGTGTAGAGGGAACTTCCAGAAATTGCCTGAATTTTCTTGAAGGCTAAGGTCACTCATAGAGCTCTCTGATTTCCTCTCTGATCAAAAAGCCCAAACAAAACTGCGGAAGCCAACATAGCCAGCAGAATTTTTTTTGTAGGGTTTACCTCTGCCTGGTATGTTGTGGGGCAGGAGAGGGGAGGAAAAAAGTATTAAATTTAGCTTTAAAAGCTCCTCAGAAATTCTTTGCACATAAGAGACCAAGTTGAAGAAAAGAAGATGACTGTGCCAAGGGGAAGAACGAGAGAGGCTAATGCCTGTGGTTTTCAAAGGTTAACAGCAACAACAACAAAAAAAAGCCCCAGTATTTGCACAGGGATGAATACTTACTGGCTCTTAGCCAACAATTATACAAGGGCTTGTGCCCACATCCTGTAGCTGTGGTTTAGGGACGCTGCTCTTGAGTGACTTCTTATGCTTGGTGGCAGGAAACTATAGTCACTCATGTGTAAATTCAACTTT